CAGGTGTGATTGGTGCAGCTCTGGACCAATCAGATTGTTTGTCTCAGTCTCTGGACGGTCAGAACATCTACAACGGCTGCTGCACGCTCAGGATCGACTTCTCCAAACTGAGCGCGCTCAACGTGAAGTACAACAACGAGAAGAGCCGCGACTTCACCAGGACCGACCTGCCGAGTGGCGAGCTGGAGCCTGCCGCCACCTTCGGTAGGCAGGGGGCGGAGCCAAAGTCTCTGACTTATTTCCTGTTGTGTCCTCTGTACCTGTGAGGGGGCGGGGCTTATCAGCTCACCTGTATGTGTATTTCAGGTGTAGCCCTGCCATATGGAGCCGCAGCGTTCCCGCCCACCTTTCACCAACACACAGGTGAGTCACCTGACCCTCAGGTGTGTCTGAAGCTGAATGTTTCCTCAGGCTTTGCTTTGTGTCGTCAGGCCTGCCCATGGCGGCCGTCCCCGCCTCGTTGGTGTCTCCTCCTCGGGTGGTGCTGCAGGTGGCGTCTCCTGGGCTGCACTCGGTGCTGCTGGTGTCCAACCTGAACCCAGAGGTCAGAGGTCACAGGCCGCCACATGGCTGTGTCTCATCATGGCTGCTCCTCACATGAAGGCTGAATTTATTAACGTTTTAACTGGGAGCACGTGTAAACACTCCAGTCTGACATGATGGGAGGGGCTGTGGGACCAGTCCTGAACCAGCAGGAAGCCAGTTCAAAGAGTTCAGACTGAATCTGAAGGTGCAGGAGTTGAAATGGAATGAACTGGTTTGAAAATAAATTTTGGTTTATTAAAAATTCATTTTGACTACTTTCTGACAGTTTTTTTATTTTAGTGATTAATTTGACCTAAATGTAGAAAATATTACATTTACATGATGACATCATGGATCAGTCAGCAGCATCTGATCAACATGTGATCCATGATGTCATCATGTAAATGTAACATTTTCTACATATAGGTCAAATTAATCACCGCAATAAAATAACTTTGTGTGTTTTTGTCACTTTTACAGTGGATTGCATCAA